TATAATATTGACTAGACTGCACCTTGCTGATTATTACACCACCTGCAGTATCTCCACGCTTTGCATTCAGTTGCATTATGAAATAATTAATTGCACTGTCTAGTTGCAATGGAAATGATTGTCTGTTTTGACGGAGCAGCCCAGTGAACACTTGCACCCTCTAACAAGCACTCATGACCAGGAGCGAATCATACTTACAGCTGAGCTGCAGCTTACGTGCGTCACTTTGGGAAATTAAAACAGAAGTTGTTGTTTTTTTCTCCTCCCAGTGCGACATGCAGAAACTGACTGTGGACGAGCTGAAGAGGCTGCTTTACGACACTTTTCGTGACCACCTCACTATGAAAGACATCGAGAACATCATCATAACTGAGGAGAGCCACCTGAACAGCCCAGAGTCCCATGTGGACATTGACAGTACGCTGCATTAGAAAGATTTTATTCCACACATTGTTGATCAGACATTTTTAAATCTCTGCTTAGACATTGGCTAATCATTTTTTTTCTAAATCTTTTTCCACAGCTAGCCCAACTCAACAGGAAAAACACACGTGTGTGCGCAAAAGCCTGATTTGTGCCTTCGCCATTGCATTCATCATCAGCGTTATGCTCATCGCAGCGAATCAAATGCTTCGCAGAGGGATGAAGTGAATACAGCTGATTCCAATAAGGTTGGACTGAAAAAGCTAATGTTAACCCAAATACGTTTCTGTTATTGGTTTTGTTCAGTGTTTTCAACGACGATGCTACAACAGCTTCTCTCAATAACGGATGAATTGATGTCATGCAGTGATTCTTAGTGACCACAGCGTAACACGGTAAAACAAAAAGAAACTAATTTCAAGGGCTGGTTAGTTTCCTAAAACAGTCAGACTCAAATCTCTGATGTTTTCTAAAGGATTAGATAGTGAACCAGACTGTAGAAGACGTCCATGTTCAGTTTGTGCTGTAGTGATAGCTGTGCTGTGTCTAATATCTCAAAAACAATCAATGTTATGGATTAGAGCTAAATGCAATTTGGAATGCGCCTAATAACGATTATAGTGCTAAAGCAATACAAAGGTAGCGATGGGATGAATATTGGTGTTTTAAGTCACTTGCTTAAAACACAAATTAGTGTCTCTTTTATTTTAGTGTTGCTATATTTTATGTGTGTGTACAGATATCTTTGTGAGGAAGAGTTTCAACCTACAACATTTTAGGAAAGTGAGGACATTTTGGCCACTTCTCACACACAAGCATTTAGTTGGATAAGGGACTAGAGAATGCATTATGTCAATGAGGGTCCTCACTAAGATAAAAGTATAAATGTGTGTGTGTATTTTTTTTTTTATCTCTAATTTGTCCAATACTGTGACTAAATGCCGGTGCAACCAAAAAAACATTCCCATAGCTGTACTTTGTCTTTAGTGCTTTGCAGCAAATCTTAGCCTGTTACCACACAGGTCCGGGTTGGTGAACATGTTAATACTAAACATCAGCATGTTAGCATTGTCAGTGTAAACTGTTATAACTGAGTACTCACAGAGCCACTAGCTTGTCCAGGATAAAGTGGGTATAGTGTAGTTATATACAGCTTTAGGACCACACATGTGACATCACACAAATCTGTCAGATTGCAGTGATTTGTAAAATTCTTGTTTTTGTGAAGCATTTTTTGCTGTAAAAAGCAAAAACATCAAAAGAAGAAAAAAGGGCATTGACCAAGTTACGAAGTACAAAGAACCCAAGAATTAGAAAAGTGCTAAAAAGAGACGGCCCTCCACCACATGCTGTGTTCTCCAGTCAGCAGTTCTGCAGACAAATCCTGTGGCGTAATTCCAAGGATGTCTATAAAAAAAAAACAAATTGGCTTGTTTTTTATGCTCAGAGTGGGACCTCTCAGCTGAGCAGCTGGGGATTCCTCTGTAAATCAAACAGCTGTTTACCGAGCTGAAAGGTGGAGAGCCGGCAGTTTAAGATGGAGGTAAACAATGAACTACAAATTAAAGGCATGACACCGAAGGGAAACACCAAATCCCTGAAATGTCAGACATGAGTGTATACGTGGGTCTTTATGCAAAAATTCCCAAGATTAACGTTAATCCCCTGCAACTGGTGAAACATGTTTCCATCTGCCAGTGATACTTCAAATGTTACTACATATTTCAAATCTTTGCATCCAAGGCACCACAATGAGACACATTTGAGAAACTGTGTAACCTGGGCAACCGTCTGTGAGTAAAAACCCATCATAACATGAGTAGAGTTCAAATAAAACTGTAATATTTAAAGCAGATGAGTTAGTTCACACAACACACCTGCATGACCATTAAATCTGAAATAAATGTGTGTTCTATGTGTGTGAGGTCAAATCTTGAATTCTGATGTACGTATTCAAATAATTATGCAATTTGTATAGTGGTCATTGCAAGAAATAATCTCAGTATATGACATTTTCCAGTAAATGTCAAATTTTGTCGACGTGCAAACAAATACTCAACACTCTGCAGTATGCTGTGAACGATAATTTAACATATCACGAGAATGTTGTTTTCTGGCTTTTACATGGAACACCAAAACAACATATTGTTTAAAGTATAACATGGTTATATTTTCTTACTTGGAAAAGTGAAACGTTGAATCTAT